TTCCCCCCCCCCCCCCTTCCACCATACCTTCTAGCCCCAGCCCTCCAAATCCGGATATAATGGTTGCTCCTGTGCCTACAATGGCCCTTTCACCGTCTGGATTATCTCTGCCAGCTTCCTCCGCTGTTCGTCTGAATGTATTGAAGGCTACACGTCTAATTTCAGTGATTGTTTTCGGTTTCCCAACATTTTTGTTAATTCAGCTCTCTGGTGTGTAAAAGATCATGCAGCTTCTATGATATGTGAGGTATGGTTGGAGGGCAGCTCTCCAATTAATGTTATAAGTTTTTCGATTTTCTTTGATGTTAGGTTTCAATAACATTACGCATAAGTCGTAACAATAACATAGAACTGACTTGTAAAAGAACAAAGCAAAAGAATCTACTAACTGAAGAACATTACCCAATGAAGATTCAATTCACATAGATACAGATATAGAAATAGTATCAAAATGACTGTAACTACTTTTACAAATGATAGTACCTATTAACTCAGTTTTAGTTCAAAGGGGAACCCTCTCCAATTGTGCTACACAGATTTTACATGGTGGCATGCAACCACATCTAGAGAGCAACAATACTAACCGATGATTTTGGAAAGATTGAACAATTTCCCCAAAAATGACTCCTTCAATTTGGCGAACTCGAGGGGGCTCTGTTTATTATTGGATGATGTCTGTTTAGCAACCCCCTTCTTCCTCAGCTTCACATTCTCCTCCTTCAGCATCTCCACAGCTAAACTGAGCTGCCTTATTACCTCCCTTTTCTCTTCATCTTTCTGTATCAGTTGTTCCTTTTGAATCCGGTTCTCTTCTTTGAGCGCCTCTATTTCCTCCGTCAGCTTCATGACTTCTTCATTGCCAACTCCACTTGAAATTTCCTCTTCTATTTCTTTATGGACTATGACGATTTCTTCTTCTTCTTCAGGATCCTCAACATCAGACTCACCAGACTCCGCAGGGTCATAGGTTTCAGAGTAGCTATCGTAGGCTTTATCCATGGAGCTCATCGACTTCTCGGGTTGATATTTGGTGACAGATACTGGGGAAGCCCACTGTGTTAAGAGGCGAGTCCCAGATTCAGACTTGACTTGATCATATCGCTCAGCTAATGAGCGATGGGCGCGATAAAAATCCTCAACCATGTTAATTAGCTCTGGCCGCTTCTTGTAATACATTTCTGCACGTTGAGCAAAAGAGTCTGCATCTTCCTCAACTAATTTCAGCATTGCTTTTGTCTTCTCATCCAGCTCTGTCAAATTAGTCAGGAGATAAAGATAGACCTCAGCTATTTCCTATTTATTAAAGTAATCCAACAGACTGACTTCACCTAAACTATTGAATTTAGGGAATGCTAGAATCTAATTAAGAAAATAAATGGAGTGTTCATACATAGACTATGAATTAGTCTATATGGCAAAGGAAAAAAATTATAAAATTGCCTTTCTCGATGGATTGTCACAGATACTACTTGGATGATGAAAGCATGAGCAGCAACAGCACAACATGAACTCTAAACAATACACACACACACACACACACACACACAAAATTGTGTTCCCTGAGCAAATATCAAGACATCTGAATGCTTGGTATGTATCTTAGTACTAGTAAATATAATTTTTTTTTTCAGTAGACAGTTCATGGATTTAATGTTTCCTTCATCAAGTAAGTGAAGGCGGCAGGGTCCACCCATGGAATGACTTTGATAATCCTTTATTAGGTCCCATGCAAGAAATGGAACGGAAAGCATAAAGAACCCTTGGCCTTATGCATAAAAAGGCCCACATGTTGTGCTTAAGATACTCACTTTCTAGGTTTAGACTTTAAACTAGATTCTAATGGGTCCAATACATTATTAAGCTATAAAAGAGTACTTTTACAGGGTTGGAGACAAAGTGTAAAGAAAACTTTCAAAGCCCTTCTGAAAAGTAGATGAAAATTTGCCCAATACTGATGGACAGCACAGTCCTCTGCATTGAGGGTTATTCATCATTACGCTAATGACCAACTAGACCCAACACACTATTGTGCTTGATCCAACTGTAGACAGCAATAGTAGTTATTGTATGCCATCTGATATGGCGGTTGTCCATTAGCTAAGTGTGTATAAGAGTTAATTAATGAAGTCTTAGAGACCACTTGATTTTGAAAAGGTAATTCTTGTGCCTTACAATTCTTTGCACAATTTAGCCATCTCCTGATGCTTTTGCTAGCATATTAAGCAGCCCTCAAATTTTCCATTGCCCCTCCTTGACAACCTGAACTCCTTATCTGTATTATATCTACCCTTTCGATGAACCACCTAAATTTTTCATTTTTGGCAGGGGGGAAATTAAACTTGTTATCCCATCATCCATCACTCCTAATCTCCATTGTACATTGATGGCTTTGACATACCAAGTGCTCATGTGCTTACTACTTAACTGATTAATGATCGTTCTTTCCAGTTTCACAGAAACCAGGTAAAAGGGGAACTATGTTTGGAATGAGATAAACTAAAAGCCCTATAATATAACCACCCGGAATAGCATACTTCATTTCGTTCCACCCTTGTTTAGCCTCCTACTTTTGAATCTAGCTTGGCCCCCAGCTACGCCCAATTTAAATCAGAAAGAAAATAATATACTTATCTTCCTCGATTATTTCTTACATGGGTATTTCTTAATTGTTTCAAAAACTCAATAGACATTGATCATTCATAGATCAAGTACCAGACACTTTTTTGAAATTTAGTCAATTATAAGTCAACTCTACACTAGAAACACAAATGCAACAATCAAACAAGAAACTTTTTTCTAAACTGTCAATAATCACTTCTTAGAAAAGACAGATCTCCAACGGTTAAATAATCACTTTGAAAAGTAAAGTAGTTTATCAAACTCCAAATTGAACATATCAAAAAAGAGACTACAGTATAGGCCTAGAGCTTAAAGTCCAAATAATATGAGAAAAAAAATTAAAAAAATTGAAGGAAGCAGGGTTTAACTAGAAGAATACAAAGTTTACCTGCAAGGGTGGATTGGAGCCATGGGGATTTTCTAGGGCTGCTGCTGTTGTGGCTATCAAACCACCACGAGTGTGATGAAAATTTGCTTTTCGCTTCAGCCATTTTCTCTTACCTTCACATAAAAAAATGAAAGAACATGAAATAGTTTAGTACGAGGAAAACAAAATAATCAACAAATCAAGTGTTAAAATTTTATTTTGATGCATTGTTTCAACCACCTAAAAAATCCTCGCAAAGAACTCCTCTCTAGAAGTCCTTTGAGGCAAATCCCATTCGAATGGTCGGGGTATATTAGTCATTTAACTTCCCGTAATACATAAATCACACCACAAGCGCCAAAACCGCAGATTCAGATAATTACTACGAGGATGGAAGGAGATTTCGATGACGTTAGGTATAGTGACCAAAATACTCCTGTATCAGTGATAAAATAAACTCTGCCGGGTGGACTCGGCTAAAATATGAAGCATATAAAACGATAGGAAAAAAAACAAGACTTGCCGGAATGAAATTCCGGTTGCCGTAGAACATTCTCCAGAGTGTAACCGACAGAAAGATTAACCAAAAAAGATTTCTTGAGAGAGAGAGGAGAGATGATGAGAAAGATTTATTTAGAGAGATTAAGCAAAAAAAAAGGATTTGTTGGATGGTTAGGAACGTACCTGAGAGAAGCTGAGAGGGCCGACGATGGTAGAAGAAGCTCTCTCTCTCTCTCTCAATGGCACACAGTTCTACATACAAAGTAGACGACAGTGTAGATTTAAACACCATACCTCGAGTTCCGAATTTTGTCTCAGTTCTGATTCATGTGGTCCAATCATAGACCGCCACGTATTTATCGGCGAGCAAAGTATGGAGGTCTTTCTGTTTTTGAAATCTTTCAATTTACTTCATTACCCCTCAATTTCTCAATCCGAGGGCTGAAGCGACTTCTACACAGGAGTGGACACCATTCAGGGATATCTTGATCATTTAGTACACCACATGACGTGGGGTCCACATGGCTGTCTAAGTTTCCGCAGGCAGGTCTAGTAGAACTGTAGAAGTTTATCCTTTACGATTATTACATTGAATCGTCCAAAGCGGGATTAAAATGCTAATGCTAGCCTACAAATGGGTAACGTAAAATAAACAATATAGAAGGGCATTTCCGACAATTAATCAAATTGGCTACCGGTGGGAGCGTCCATGGCCGGTGGGCCGGTGACCACAAAAAGAAAAAAATGAAAGGCAACGCAACGGTCGAAAATTCCAGTGGCAAACCCATCTGTACATCCTAGGTTAGTGACCTCACACGAGATTGTACCTGACTAATTTGACAATTACCATATTGTACCTGACTAATTTGACAAGGATTGTGAGAGTTATACATAAAATTAAGCAGAGGTACACCAAGACCTCCTAAAATTTGTTACTTAATAGTTTAAATTTTTTAATATTTAAAATATTATACACAAATTCTTTAAAATTTATACGCATGTAACACTTAAAGTCTTACCGTCAATGTCCGTTAGTATATCAGAATATCAAATATTTTAAAATTTACAATTAAAATTCATATTCTATTTTATCATTTATTGAAATAAAATAAAAAATAAAAAATTAATTTTTTTCTTAAAAAATTATAATTAATGTACAATTATACTATCTATTGAAATAAAACTAAAAAAATAAAAAAAATATATCTAAATAATTCATAATATAACATGAATTTAAAAATCTAATTTTTTTTCTTAAAAATCATAATTAGTATATAATTATACTATCTATTAGAATAAAACTAAAAAATCAAATAAGAGATCAAACTGTAATAGACACAATATCTTTTAGTTTTAATTGGGATAATTTGGTTGTTTAAAAATGATTAAATTAAATTCTGATAGATAATATAATTGTATACTAATTATAATTTTTTTTAAAAAAATTAAATTTTTATTTTTATTTCAATAAATGTCATAATAGAATATAAATTTTGGTTGTAAAATTTAAAATATTTAATATTCTATCTTTAATTAGAGTATTTTTGGTTTACGTATAACATTTTAAACTTGAGGGGTCTAAATATTATACGTATACATATTTCAAAAGGTCTAGGTGTAATTTATTAATGGATATTGACAATTGATGTCTAAGTGTTATGTGCATACAAATCTCAAAGAGTTTGTATAATATTTAAAACGTTAAACGATCTAAGTGATTAAGTGATAAATTTTAAAAAATTTGGATGTAATTCTCCTTATAATTAATGACTTCACACATGATTCCACTAGCAACTCAATTTCTACATTTTTTTTTGGTTGTTGTATTGTGAGAGTTATACATATAAATAATGAAAGTTAGAAAGATAAAATGGTCTAATTCATGAAAGTTTTTAAAAAGTATAATGTAACAAGAGATCAACGGGACCGTCCCTTACTTTCGTCGGGACTGTTTTTCACTAAGGTTGTTAATTAAATTGTGTTATTTGAGCTTAACTTGAGTTTGGTTTGGGTTCAACTCGTTCAGATTTAGTTTGTTTTCTAAACGAGCCCGAACTTGAATACTTGTTTAGAAAACAAACTCTACAAGATCGGCTCAAACTTGATAGACTCAACTAATTTATGTGTAAATACTCGAGCACGACTCGAACTCGGCTCGAATTCTAACACCAGTATGATTGGATTGTGGTCCTTCGACATGCTCTGATTGTACTTTCATATTATTGGAATCTGCTTCTTCATAGTTTCATGCCCTTCTTCAATAACACGCTCTAAATGCAGTTTGTTAATAGGATTGACTGGGCTTCTTCCCTGGGATTTGAACCTGCTTCAACATTTGGATCCCGTGGAGCGTCACTACCAATGAACTTAACCCATATGCCATCACCTAGTATTTTCATGAACGTTTGTTTAGCAAGCTGAAACTCTCCTCTTTCAAAATGAAGAACTCCAATATTGTTGAACAGTTCTGTTGGTACTTCTTCGTCATCCTTTTTCAGTAGATTACGTGCAGTTTTAAAAGCATCTAACGCATCTCCTGCATCAGTTGAAATTAAAAGCTTCCCAAGATCCAGAAATGCCTGGGCATCACGTGGATCATTCTTTGTAGCTTTCTTTAAGAACTCCTGGGCATTCTTAGTGTGCCCTAGCCGAACACAAATGTACCCAAGAACCTTTAATTGTCTCACAGTTATCAGGGTACACCTCCAAAACCTTTCCAAAATTTGAAAGGGAACTCGTTAAATCTCCCAATTTCAAGTGTACTTGACCCAAACCATAGTAAGGTAATACAAATTCTTGAGGCTTATTGCTTTCCTTTACAGATGCGAAGCTTTTTCATAGTCCCCCTTGCTATGGTACGATCGTGCTAAATTGTAGTAGGAATGTGACTTTGTTGGCCCATGAATAGTCACAGCAAGTGCAATTTCAGTTAGTTGCTCTACTAGAAAATGTTGACCAGTGAAGAAGAAATGATTTGCTAAGTAATTCGGCGACATAGCACAGTAGGCGTATATCTCAAAAGCTCTTTGCATTTTTTTCCATTCCCCTCTTAATACCGGCAGTCGTAGAAACATTAGATAACAAAATAGGAGGTTATGAGGTACCTCGATTAAGTAGCATATCCTCCAAATAAAAATTTAAACTATAGTAACTCTAACACCCTAGTGCTGAAAATAAGAAAGTACAGACTCAATTGAACACTTGACAGTAGACAAAGAACCAAAGTTAACACTTTCAAGTGGGGCAGAGTCCAGAACAAAATCAACAATCTCAGATTGAGAATAATCTGTAACAAAGTTATGATGATTTGGACAAGTAGACATAGAATAGTCACTAGTAGATTCGACAATTAATGACTCGATTGGCTTAATATCTTGCATAAGTGTAGGCTCAACATACTTTTCTACAATTTTCAAGACCAATGATGGTTTAAGAATTGACACAAGTAAAGACTCATACATACTTTTTTTCGAAACGGACTTTTGTGGGTGCAAAGGAGGAGGACTTTGATATGACGAAACTAAATGAGGGAGTTGGAAGTCCATATGAGTAACATTTTTCTCTTTATCCGATACTAAAATATCTAAATCCTTTGCCACATTCGGATTAGGAAAGCATGCAAAAATAATATGGACATCGTTTAAGTAATCATGATACTCATATGTTTTGGAATTAAGAGTGGAAGGTATCCTGTCACGCTATTTAGTAGACTGTGATTTAGAACTCATTAAACTATAGTTGGATTTCTTATGAAATCTCTCAACCTTTAGAGTATATTGATAGGCTGCAACTAACGTATTAAAAGTGTATTGCTTGACCTCCCTACTAATTTTGTGTCTCAACCCAAGAATAAACTGATTAATTGTCCAAGGTTCTTCAACAATGTCACACAAGTACATGAGATAATCAAACTGGACAAAGTAATCAGAGATATTAGAAGAATGTTGTTTAATATTGAGTCATTGGTTATAAACTTGATCCATGTAGAAACTAAGCAAATACTTCTCTTTCAATTTATATCTCATTTCAACCCAAGTGATAGGTGATTCTCCTAAAGGGTCTAGGCTTCTTTGGATTGTTTGTCAATACTTCTTGGCAGAATCCTCCAACATCAATTTAGCAAAATGGACGTAATGGGAATCCGACATGCTATGTCAATCAAAATATTTTTCTAAATTAGCTAACCAATCCAAGAATTGATTGGGATCTAGAGTACCACAAAATGTAGAAAGATCTTTAATTGATTTAGCAATAGGTGTTGAATCCTTCTAGACATACCTAGACTTACTATGATGATGACCTCGAGGAGGCACTCTTAAACTAGGGTAAATATGTGGATTAGAGACATCATACATACTTATGAGTGAGTCATTGATAAATGATTTGGACCCTTTGTAAATTTTTTTAATTTTTTAATGAATAAAAATATTAGTTTCAAATTTCTATAAGAGTATGCATACCATAATTTAAGTTTTGCTTTGAGGGAATTCTGAAATTCAGAAACGTCATGGGGATGATTATGCAATTTTTAAAACTTTTGGGGATATTTTTACAATTTTGTAGCTTCTGGATAGTATTTCTGAAATTTGCTGAAACCTATGGGGTGAATTTACAATTTTTTGGATCTTCTAGGGATGTTTCTACAATTCTGCAATTTACTGAGGATGCTTCTGTAATATGAACAGTCACGACGAACGAAGAACAGTAACAATTTTTTTTCTTCTACACAAACCTTTGATTTGTTGGATTTTTTTTTTAACTAGACAGTGTTGATGAACAGTACTTCGATGAACAGTACCTCGATAAACAGTACTATGATGAATAGTATTTTTTTCCCCGAATCAAAATTGGCTCTGATACCAAATTGATGTAAGTCGTACTAGTTTTGATACCAAATTAATGTAGATCATATTAGGAAAGAATTAGGGATGAGAATGGAAGAAGAAAGAGATGAGAAAAGAAGAAGAAGGGGATAAGAACAAAGAAAGAATTTGAGGAAAAAGAATTCAATATCAATAATCAATAATAATCAAAGTCTAATTTTACAACAATTATGTACCCCCTATATATATAAGGAGTTCACAAATCCTATATATATATATGGTGATCACAAACCCTAAAATAAATAAATAATCAAAATGACAACTAAACCTTTAAAAGTTAAAAAAAAATACTTAAAAGATCAATATTAAATTACTCTCATGATTAATCTAAAATATCTATCCAATTCCTACATGATCCTCATCACCTATGCTAGACAATACCACCTGATGAGCCCAAATTTAGACCAAGTCTAGGCCCAGTTTATGGGTTGAGTTGAGCCCAAATCATCAAAAGGCAGATCAAACTTAGCTAATGGCTTCAGCCTAATCCAAAGTTCAAGAGTCTAGAAAAATCAACGCACGTGGGGAGTAAACATCGGGATAACTATTACTCGAAGATAACACCTATCTTTAATTGTAGTTATCCTCCCCGAAAGACTAGTAGTGTGGCTTTCATGTCACTGCCTTATCTAGGGCTATGTGCCTATAAATTGTAAATCCTCTACACATAAGGGACACACAGCTATTTCTCACACACCTCACCTTGAAAGTACTCCTGTTTTCTCTCTTTCTCCAACTATCTTGTACTCTCTCTCCAACTACTTTGTATTCTCTCATCAATAGAATTCTCTGGCCACCATTGTGTTGGAAAAACTAGTGACTTTCTCTCTGTGTGCAAATCAATAGAAAATAACCAAAACCACAATCAAGCACAACAAGCAAACCAAACCAACAATAAGAAACACAAGAATTTTTAACATGAAAACACTTCAAGGCAAAGGGAAAAAATCATGAGACCAAACTTAGTCCAATCTCTCCACTATCAACGAAAGTAGGATTATAAGTCTTCTAGTCACAACTAGAGATGTCAAACATCAAGAGAAAAATATCCCCTTGGCTCCCAAATATAAAAGTTTCACTCTTAGGTGGATTTCAACACAAAGCAACTAAAAAGATCTCACCGAAGTAACTGAACTTGTGTCATTGAAAACTAGTTGTAGAAGAATCCAATTGACAACCCAAAATAGTAGAAACCAGTTGTGGAAATGAGGAATATGTCCCTGAATTTTCAACTCAATCAGAGTAGAAATGAGCCTTGAACAAGGGCAAGAAGTGGACTGTTGTCTTCCACTTTTCTCTCGCACAAAAGAAGCTATCTCTTTCAATGTTTTCTACAAATTTTTTTCACTCAAAGTGTAAAACCAATCAGGCAACTTAGAAGACAAAAGGTCTTCAATTCTTGTCTTTTGCTAGACTCTTCTAATGCATAATTCTAATGCACACATGCACATATCTTTAATTTGAGTTGGATCCCAATGAGAAGGCATAAAGAGAGACACCCAACAAATCTCGCCCTCCTGACTTATGCGAAGCACTCAACCAAATGTGTCAAAACTCTACACTTCTCGTGCTTGTCTTTGGGTAAGGCTTTCGTCATCATATCCGATGCATTATCATTAGTGTGGATTTTTACAAGATGAAACAATTTCAATTCCAAAACATCACGTGTCTAGTAATATCGCACATCAATATGTTTTGATCTTGAATGAAAAGTAGAATTCTTACTCAAGTAAATTGCACTTTGACTATTGCAATGGAGAACATACCTCTCTTGTTTCAAGCCCAATTCATGTAAGAATCTTTGCATCCATAACATTTCCTTGCTAACCTCTGTCACATCTATATACTCAACCTCGGTGGTTGACAAAGCAATAAATTTTTGAAGTTTTGATTGCCATGAAACAGCCCCACCTACAAAAATGAGTAAGTAACCCAATATAGATTTTTGGGGATCAACATCGCTAGTCATGTCTACATCAGCGAATCCCTCTAGCATAGGCTTGCCATTTCCAAAGCATTAAGACACATTGGAAGAACCCTAAAGATACCTCATAGTCCAGTTAACAGCTGTCCAATGTTCTTGTCCTAGATTAGAGAGAAATCTGCTAACCAATCCAACCGCATAAGCTAAGTCCAGCCTTGGGCAAACCATGACGTACATTAAGCAACCAACGGCTGAAGCATAAGGAAATTTCAGCATTTCCTCTTTTTCTTTCTCACTTGTAGGACATTGTATTGAGCTAAGGTTGAAGTGGCCTGCAAGTAGAGATCCAACCGGCTTTGTTTTGTCCATTTTGAACCTTTCAAACACTTTTTCAATGTAATTTTCTTGTGACAACCAAAGATGTCCACTCTTTCAATCACGAAGAATTTTCATACCAAGAATTTGTTTTACCGGTCCTAAGTCCTTCATAGCAAAGGACTTCTTTAGCTCCATCTTCAATTTGTCAATCTTGGTAGAATCTTGACCCACAATAAGCATGTCGTCAACATATAACAAAAGAGTGATAAAGTTATCATCTAGAAACTTTTTCATAAACACACAATGATCGGAATTGTTTCTAGAATACCCATGATCTATCATGAAAGAATCGAATTTCTTGTATCATTGTCTTGACGCTTGCTTCAATCCATACAATCTTTTCTTTAACTTGCAAACTAGATGCTCATTCCCTTTGGTTTTAAAACCTTCGGGCTGCTCCATGTAGATTTTCTCATCTAAATATCCATCGAGAAAGGCGATCTTCACATAAATTTGTTCAATTTCCAAGTCCATACCTGCAATCATGCTGAGAACAACTCTAATGGATGACATCTTCATCACGAGTGAGAAAATTTTATCAAAGTTCACTCCCTTTTTCTGCCCAAAGCTTTTGACAACAAGTTATGCTTTTTACTTTGGTTTAGAGCTTTTCTCATCATTCTTCAATCGGAATACCCATTTATTTTTCAGCACTTTCTTTCCTTTAGAAAGCTTCACTAACTCATATGTGTTATTCTCAAGCAAGGACTACATATCTTCTTGCATAGATTTGAACCATTCATCTTTGTGCTCATGCTTTAAAGCTTCTTGATAAGTCTCAGGCTCTCCCTCATCGGATGGCATCACATACTCATTTGAAGTATACCATTTGGATGGTTGCCGCTCTTTTATAAATCTTCGTAACTCAGGTTGTGGTGATGGCTCTTGAGTTGGAAACTCCCCCTCATTTTCTAGCTCAACATCATTTGGAATCCCATCATCTACTTCTTCATCATGAAATGGTTGCATCTCTTCCCCATTTTCATCATGCACAATAGGTGAAGGAATCGGATCCAAGTCAATAAGATCATCAATATAAGACTCGGGTTGCTCAACCTTTGCCAAGTCTTCAATTGTTTGATCTTCAATAAAGACAACATCCCTACTTCTAACAAGTTTCTTGTTGGCCGGATCCTACCAATCTGTACCCAAATTCCTCATATGCATATCCAAGAAATATACATTGTTTTGCCTTAAGATCAAGTTTAGATATCTCATCTTTTGGTATGTGAATGAATGCCCTACAACCAAAAACTTTCAAGTGAGCATATGAAACGTCTTTACCTTTTCAAACTTTTTCAGACACTTCACCATTTAGAGGAACTGAAGGAGAAAGATTAATTAAGTCAATTGTTGTCCGCATTGCCTCACCCCAAAAGGATTTAGGTAGTTTAGCAAATGAAAGCATACACCTTATCTTTTCTAAATGGTGCGATTCATCTTCACGGCAACTCCATTTTGTTGAGGAGTCTTGCGAACCATTCTCTCATGTCTAATCCCATGAGTATCACAATAACCATCAAATGGTTCTAGGTACTCACCACCATTGTTCATGCGAATGCATTTCAATTTCCTCCTCGTTTCTCTTTCCACCTTGACATGAAAATGTTTAAACACTTCTAGCACTTGATCTTTGTTCTTCAATGCGTATGCTCACGCATTTCTTGAATGGTCATCGATAAAGGTAACAAAGTAGAGTGCACCTCCAAGTATTCTAACTTTCATAGGACCACATACATCCGAATATATCAAATCCAAAACATTGGTCTTTCTAGATGCAAAGTTCCTATGAAAAATAACTCGATGTTGTTTATCAGCCAAGAAATGAACACATATTTTGAGAGGTGTACCTTTCATTTCTAGTAAGAGCTGCTTCTTAGATAAAATTTGCAATCCCTTTTCACTCATATGCCCGAGTCGTTTATGTCATAGCTTAGTGGAGGAATCATTCTCAAGTGCATTAACTTCACTCTTGCTGATTTTTGCTTCCATTGAGTAAATAGTAGAGTTTTTCTTCCCTTTAGCCACAACCAAAGATCCTTCTATAAGCTTCCATTTTCCATCACCGAAGTGATTATTGTAGCCCTTATCATCAAGCTTCCCCACGGAGATCAAATTAAGTCAAATGTATGGGACATGCCTCGCACCTTTAACCAACAACTTGCAACCAATATTTGTCTCCAACAAATATTTCCAACACTCATGATTTTAGATAAGCCCTCATTTCCCATTCAGACAAATCCAAAATCTCATTGAGTGTAAGATGTGAAGAAATTAGCTCGTGAAGTAACATGAAATGAAACACCGGAATCAATCACCTAACTACTCTCTTGACACATGAAATTAACACAACTATCATTGCACACAACAATGATGTCACTATCGGAAGTGATTGCAGTAGTGTCTTCTTGTTTCTTTTCATCACTTTTTCTTTCTTTTGATCCCTCTTGAGTTTTCTATACTCTCTCTTTATGTGCTCTTTCTTGTGGCAATAATGACACTCTATATTTTTCCTTGAACTTGAAGCTCCTCGTGATTTATCATGGTTGTGAAGTGTTCTACTTTTACTTCTCCCCCGCTTCTCTAAGACAAGTGCTTCGGAATGAGAACAACTGGATGACTTCGTTCTTGCCTCTTCATTTAGCAAGCTACTAGTCACTTGACTTATAGTGACAATTCCATCGGGGGCGGAGTTACTAACCGTCCCTACCAAGGTCTCCCAACTTTTCGGCAAGGAACTAAGAAGCAACAAGGCCTGCAACTCATCATCAAAAAGAATTTTCATGGAGGAAAGTTGATTTACAATGCTTTTCATTTCATTCAAATGTTCCGCAATGGAGCTACCTTCTTTATACTTTAGATTAACAAACTTTCGAAACAAAAAAGCCTTGTTAATGGTTGTTTTCCCCCCATAAAGTCTCTATTTTTTGTCAAATAGAGTGTGCTGAATTTTTGGTAGAGACATGATGGAAAACACTGTCATCACTCCATTGACGAATAAATTTAATGGCCTTTCGATTAAGCTTGGTCCACTTACCATTTATCATACCTAGGGGTCGGCCTTTTTCACCTTCTATGGGTCCATAAAGATCTTTACAATACAAAAGGCATATATCTCCAACTTAGTGGTTTTCTCCTAAGTCGTCAAAAACTCGGTCTAATTCTGTCTCTGCTCTCATGCAAGCAGCATATGTCTCTAACTTCGTGTCTCTCTCACGAGTCTCCAGAAGCTTGGTCTCACTCTACCTCCACTCTCACGAAAGCAACCTCGACCTCCAAAATGCTCGGCCTTAAGAGGTGTTGCTCTCTCATGAGCCAACCTCAACTGCTCCTCAATAGCCTGACACTCATCTCTCTTTTGCCAAAGCTCTCGACACCTCATTGAGTTTGATTGTTCTCAGAAAAAGGCATGGAAAAGTCATAGCCATCTACGAATATCCAAAAGCAAGAGTGTCAGTATGACCAAAACATACAGAAGACAAAAAGCCCTCCATCGTGATATCAATGATACTTTCACAACCCTAAAAGCCGACCTCTCTAATATCCAAGGGTGTCACAAACCTCCAAGGACGCTCCTTGACCAAATTCACATCCAGCAGCATGGACACCGAGCCATTACTGGAAGCTGGACAATTATATAGAGCTCCGGTCTCAATGAAGTTTGTACAGGAGTCTCAATCTATAAAGTAGTTCTACGACTAACCGTAAGACTCAAAGGGTCACATGTTGAGAAGAAGTGAAAACATCATCAAACCCCATTGTTCGATAAATAGTAAGGCCATCAGACCGAAGCTGTGAACCATTGGGGGCATTAGATCTTGCCCTCTTGGGATGAGGGGAAGTCACCATCCTAGTGACATAGAGAGTCTTCACCATTAATCTATCAACCACGAGATCACCTATGAAAGAGAGAATTTTCATAAACCAAAGACATCATCCATTTGTCTGGGTCCTCCATGGTATCATCGCTCATGGCACCGCCTAACCTCGCACCTTCCCTGGTGTTGCCTAGGTTCATATCCATGGCGCCACCCAAGATTCTCTCCCTTTCCAAGGCATAACTCGCCAAAGCTTCTCCATCTCTACACCCCAAAGCGTCTGTGCTTCTCTTCATCCTCTCTACTTCTTATGGGCTACTAGACGAGCAAATAAGCTTCAAAAACACAATGTAGAGAAAAGCTAAACAGAAGAAACCACCATATCGAACAAGGTACCATGGTCTACCCAAATAAAAGAGCTCACTCATGCCCTTAACTCCCGTATCATTACTAGGGCTTGGGACATGGGTGGCAAATAACGAGCTCAGATTTAGACCAGGAGTGGGCACAATTCATAGATTGAGCCCAAATTATCAAAAGACAGGTCAAGTTGAACTAATGGCCTCAGCCTAATCCAAAGTTCAAGAGTTCATCAATGCACGTGGAAAGTAAATATCGAAATAACTATTACTCAAAAATAACACATATCCTTAATTGTAGTCATCCTCCCCAAAAGACTAATAACGTGACCTTTACATCACCATCTTATCTAGGACTATGTGACTATAATTGTAAACTCTCTACACATGAGGGACACACATGTATCTCTCACACAAAGATCTCACATACCTCACCCTGAGAGTACTCTTGCTCTTTCTCTCTCTCCAACTACCTTACACTTTCTCATTAATAGAGTTTTTTGGTCACCATTGCTACATTCAATGGTTAGATCACCCAAACTTAACCATTCATTCATTAAATGCTTCACACACACACTCGACTAATTGATTATGCATAAAATCACTTTTGTAAATCATCACCACCAACCCATATTTTCTTTCTCTATTCGACAATTACACCTACCACTCATTGTTTTTGTAGCTCATCAAAGAAAAAGCATGGAAGAGATGCTTCCGGAAGATCACTACACAACATATCAACCTAGACAAGAAGCCCAGCAAAAATCTAAAAGAAAAAGAAAATAATTACATTTAAGCAATTTACAAAATGCTAATCTATTATTAGCACTAGAAAAGCAGTGTTTTGTTACACGTGGGGTTAATATGATGTATTAAAAGCGTGTGGCTGTGCACACGTAACTATGCAAGTATGATGACCAATAGAATCACTCCATCATAGTAAGAGTGGAAAAGAAGGTTATCAGCAGTAATTAACATCCTCAAAACCCACCAGAAGCAAAAATCTTTCATGGTTTACTTCTCAATGAAATTAATGAGCAGGCACTTCTGTTGGCGAGCCAGGAACATACGGAGTAAATCCCCTTCCACCAAACATAGGACGCATGAAGGCATCATCAAATTTTCTCCAATAATGGTGGACAGTGTGAGTTGGGGTGCTTAGAAGCATGCGTAGACTGGTTGGGCGGGGAATAGTTTGACCATTCATGTTAGCTTCTGAATCTTGCCCATTGCCGAGAAGTGGCAAAGTGATTGATTTTGGACTAGATGGTTCAGAATGATTTGACGGTAGGAAAAACCTTACTAGAGGCTTGGTCAGCAATCCAAACACCTAGAAGGATTAAAAACAAATAGTTAATACAAGAACTGTGTCGATGAGAAAAAAGGCAATCCTCTGCCAGATACATGTTTGCCACTCCCTATAAAAATGAAGCAGTGAATCATGGGTGGCAGTAGTAGCTTTTCCTGGGCTTTGAAAAGGTGCAAACACATACCCACACAAATCCACAAATCAGGCAAACCAACAATCATATGAGTTATAGGATGATAAGTGAACTCTATCGCTACATAACACACGTCCTGCAAGGGTACGTACATAACAACTTTGCAAATGTGGCTAGGAATGTCAGAGCATTTGATTTAAGGTTATGCATTGTGATTTCCCTCATCAACATTATTTGTCATTACATTTCTTTCTCCCTACAGTAAAAGACAGAAAGGACAAAATTTGCATGCACCCGTGCTAATTGGCTCTACAACCTACCCCTTGTAGCAATACAAATCAGGGAACAGAACATTGTACCAATGTCACAATCTAATTAGATAAAACGAGGCACTTGGATATTTGCAATCAACAGGCTACACAACCTAAATGACATGAAGATAAAAGAGCTGTGCGAAGGACCACACACATATAAAACAGCAACAATTAATCAAGTCATGAAATCACAAAAAGAAATGTGCTCCAATTGCAACCTAAATGCTCAATTGCTCCAATTGTAAAACAAATACTTATAATCAGAAGCATTATATTCTTTACCAATGTACTGAAAAGAACAACAGAGATGGTGCTAGTGATCATGATAGCATTGCCAGGCTGTTGAGTATGGCCAAACCTCGAAAACTGCATGTGTAACAAAAGTCAGACTTCAACTTGTAATATCACCATCATAAATACATGTGTGGTAATGCGACGATATATAATCTGAAAACAAATAATAACATTTTCATACTTAAGAAACACAATCAATGCCACAAACTGATTCAAGTTGAATTTTTCACTAGCAAGATGAAAAGATTCATGCATAATTGAAATGCTAAAATGGCCTAGAGGCAATCAGCAGGTTGCCTCTATCATGTTACAAAAGTTTCCTAAACAAGCAAAGTTTTCCCAACTTTAGAGACTCTAGAATGATTGAAAAGGACCTTCTGTCTGTTCCAAGAGTCCAAATTACAAACTTCCTCACGTTCTATATGCCTGTGTAAGCGTTAAGAAGTTTAATGATATTTTTTTTATTGGATATGTAGCATGAACCAAAACTATTTCAAAAATCGTTCTTCTTATACCAATACTGAATTATTTTCTCGTCAATGGAGAAAAAAGCAAACGTTGTCCCACCAAATTGGGCCAAGAACATAGATATTTCTTTCATCAGTCATAAAAGAAGATAAGCATGCCACCTCACTGTCCTCTCACTCAGAGGTCTGAATGCATATTCTCTAACTTTTGCCAGTTATAGCCCTGTCACCCTATCCCTATTTTTCAAACTGGCATCTAAGGCATCAAATAGTCCTCGTGCTTACCTTATTATAAGCAAGTGCCATGGAAACAGCTCCTCTCATCAGGCCAGCCCACCAAATTGTAATCTGCTCAGTCAATTTTCAAGTTTCACATCACACGAGATTGAAGGGAATGGGAAACTTGAACAAATTCCAAGACTATGTACCTGCTGCTTGAACTCAATTTTGTCACTTTTTGATTTCTTTGTAATGTTTAATAATAAGGAAAGAGGGAATACAAAAGCTGCCCTCCCAACCAGAACCAGGGCAAGAAGTGCTGTGCTCACCACAACAGATTTTCCAGGACTGCAGAAAATGAAATGGAGCCCAATTACAAAAGGTGGTATTAGAGTCTGCAAAAAGCAAACTACATAATGCATTTTTGAAATGAAAGAAAACCATTAATTGACACTCAAAAATGCAAAGTAGAGAATGGAAACACATTTAATTATCTTATATGGATTTATAGACGTCACCTGTCACTTACAAAGCTCCACTTCTCAATGTCTAAGGCATCCATACCAACATAGAGGAAAATGAAGAGCTCCGCAACAAATGACAACGTTGCAAATGCATGCCTGCAGCCATCAGTAAGCAGAATCAATAATATGTTAATGGGACTACTCTGACCAATGTCCTTAAATCACAAAGAAAAATGCGACAACTTTCAAGAAAGTATTCCCAAAGCTTGCACATACTTGGTAGTTACCCTTGAACTTTCGGTCACATTATGCCAGGTATAGTGTGACATGACAATCCCACAAAAGAATACAGTGAGAATTCCACTTAAGTCGAACAGCTGGAAGGCAAACAGTTATATTCAACATGATCATAAAGCACAAGATTGTCAGAAACACGACAAGAGCACAGTAATTTATGAGAGAGTGTCTAATACAAATTAAGTTATTCATTCACAAGTTAATATTAGAGGACATGTGGGTGCTTGAAAACTAGTAAGTAAAAACTTACTTCGGCCATGACGTATGAAAGGTAAGCCATGAGAATCATAAGTGCAATTTCACGATCAGTGGAGTGCCTGAAATTGACCACCAGAGTGAAACAATATCCACAGGAAATAAGGCATTCATAAAAGAAGCTTCAGAGTCTGCAAAGGTTATACAACACCCAAATAGATCTTGGGTTCCCAGTGTTACAGCTTTATGAATGTTCAACAAATTCATAAATTATACCAGCCAGCCACTTATATTGTGCGAGTGTGCAAGCAGAATGTTTATCGTAAAAACAAATTCTCGCACCCATGCTAGGATTATTTATTATTTCTGTACTTGCAGATTGGAAATGCAAACAAACCAAAAATGATGGCAAGACTTACAAACCCTGAGGATGGCAAGCTAACCATTGAGATTGATTCACTCTAAGGACTTACAGTTAAAATTTCCCCATGATTAATTGTTAACAAGTCATCAAAAAATAGCATAAATTCTAATCCTACAGAACTTGTTCCAACCGAACATTCTTATGAGGTTCCAACTTTTGTTTCTTTCCATTATGCTCTTGGCAAGCAGATGGAAAATTGTTGAATATTTGATTACTTGATCTTTTTTATTACAACTAATGCAAGGAATCTTTTAATGTAAACGTTCAATACAAGAAATGACAGACTACAGAAAACTGATTTTCCCGTAGAACAAACATGAGGTGAAAATATATCACTAGCACTGACATACCTTCCAAAGTACAACTTCTTAATGATGTATGCGCTAAGCAATCCAATCTGTAAAATAACAGGAAAATGTCAAAACAAAACATCACCAATTGGAAGTACACATGCATAAAAGTTTGATGGAAATGGAACAGAAGACGTGACCAAGTTTGAAGTGCATTATCATTAGTTTTGCACAAAGGCACTAAAATGCCCCAAAGAACCCTTTCGCGAAGTGCTTTTGCTGGCAAACTCAAAACATTAACTTAACCCTTGAAATAAGCATAATAACTGAATTTTTTTCCCAAACTGGACTAGTTTTCTATGAAAGAGACACATATCAAAGATGTGACATGGAATTTTGATTCATTCCAAGGTCTCACTTGTATTTTATAAAGTAGAAAGTCAATATGCACACAAGTGTAAAGTAGAGAGAGAGAGAGAGAGACTTACCAACACCCCAAGCAAGGTGCTTAAGAAAAATAAAGAGAGAAAATTGCCTATAAACTGCAAGGCAATGCTTGAGTTGATGTTAGAGAGGTCAACTTTCTGGATTGCATTGAAAAGCACAACAGATGTGGCATCATTCACCACACCTTCCCCAAACACAATACTGTACAGTAAAGGTGTCTCATCCTGGTTAAGCACCTGAACAATAGAAAGAACATTTAACTCAAACATGCTTTTTATGTTTTCTCTTGTTTAAATCAACGTTGCCATACTTGGATGGATATCAATACCTGCAAAGTGCAAACAGAATCTGTTGCCGATAAGATTGCTCCGATTGCTACAAACAACACAAGATGACAATTATAGGAGATCAAGAGATTGGGTGATGGAATAAAAAAAAAAATTATAGATGCACAAGAAGTTGAAAATCTATAACTTTTAATTCTCTAAATGAAAGAATAAAAATTTATAGGGACAGATGTTTATTGATAACATCAATAATTACACAACAAAAAAGTAACAACACGGGAGAGAGAAAGAGAGTACCAAGAAAATCCCCCAACTCCAATGAACCACTATCCAGTTTTCCAAACAATCCCTTCGCACCTGAAACAGTTTTTAAGGTACTATCATGGTCAATCCTGGGAAAAATTGGAACAATCAACAGAACCAATCAAGCTGGTACTTCAAAAACTGTAACTCTGAAATAAAATTGTGACTAACATATATCTCTTGTTGCATTGACAAAAAAATCGAGTGCCTATCACAAATCTCAGTGTGTATTAGCATGTTCAAGATTTTGAAAAATGAAAACAAAGGTAAAAGCCAAGGGCAAAAAGATCACATCAAGAAGGAAATAAAAAGGCATGCATCGACATTATCAATAGTACTCATGCAAGGAGTTACTGTCAAAGAGTACAATGGTTTTTTTTTAAGTTTTCAATTCTCCAGAAGCTACCATTGTGAAATCATTTTCATTGTTCAAATAGTGTAACTTAGAAATGCATTATGATTACGTTGAATACAGAAACATGTATGGACAAGCACAAAAAACTAACATCAACATGTTGTATTAGTATATTAGTTAAAACCTAATCAACTAATGAAATGCACACAACCATTACAAAAGATGACATCACAATACACAAAGCATTCAGAATAATAAATAATTTTTTGGTAAAACTAAAAGTAAAATGAACTTATATAGCATACCAATTGATATGATGCCGAAGGATATCAATGTACCAAAAACACCAAACAACATGATAGTCATAAAGTTTCGGAAAAACTGCTTCTTTTTTACCTGAAATCTGCACACAGGAATTGCCAGAACATCAGAATTTAATACACACATACTTATAAGATACAAACCACGTAAAGTTCAACTATCTGTACATGTGATAAGCATTGAGCTCCAAGCAATTCAAAAAGTCCACACTCAACGAAACAAATATTTATAAAGCCATGCTGGGCTCATCCAGAAAATGAAAAAATGGGGAAATTTTAATGTAGTGATACAAGCAAATGTTCCATAGAAACAAAGCTTTCATTACTATCAGCACAAATAATAAAAAACAAAAGACATAATTACAAATAAATCCTGGACTTGATAGGCATAATTACAAATAAAAGAAGTATGCTACCTGCCAACATGTAATAAGACCAAAATAAGGTAAAAATAATGTTAGGGCAGAGAAGGAATGAGTTACAATTATCAGCTTCTAAGATGAGCAAGTTCAAGTAACTAAGCTTCTTAATGCCATATTCCCCAAAGATTGAGGAACAAGAGGAGATCTATTAAGAGAGATTTATTCAAGATAAAATCTTAACAGTTACATCCAATCACAAACTACACTAAATTTGCCCCTTTTTCATGGAGATTTACCCATCATAGAGACGCACTGAGGAACAAAACGAACTTCATATATCCCTTTTCTGCTCAATCCAAAAACAAGATCAGACGTTATTCCAGACATTCAGTGAAAATTTATACAAAAACAGAAGATAAAATACGGTAATTATGCTAAAGTAAGTTTTAAGTCCAAGAGGGATCTCGAACATATAGAAGACCTAATGACCAAGCACGCTATCAGTCTCAATGAGTCAAATGATTGCATCCAAGTTGAAATTACAAAGAGAATGCAGAAGACTATGAACCTAATAATAACTAATAACTACCGATCATGCAATCATTTAATAGTAATTGTACAATCCACAAGAATGTCTTAGTGCGCAATCAAAACAGAACTAAACAGGAAACTACGTCTTACCCCGCGTTGAATATAATGGGTGGAAGAACATAAATAAAGAAAAGTTCTTCATTAAATTCCAAAAGGCGTGAACTTTTCCCTTTTGTATAGAGAAGAATAATTGTGCCAGTGCACAAACCCTGCCATCAAATGCCAAAATAATCATATCATGAACTCCACAATCGCATATAAATGATGCAAGCTAGTACAATACGATATTTAACCACAATCACGATGTGGAAGGTCAATTGTTTAGTTTTTAACTCACAATTATAAGCGCAGTGATTGACTCGTTGAGCCATCGGTTCTCCTCGAGAAGATGACCAATCACTATGCAAGCACTAAGTAGCACAGCGAACAAGGTTATGGCTTCAACAGAAGCTAGTTCAGCGGCCGAATCCATCACCCCCAACCTCATCAAAGCAGAGCCCCCACTAAATCCCATGTTTGCCAATTTCCCCCAATTATCTCAACCAATCTCACGGCTCACGGGGATCAAAGAATAGTACGCTGTTTCAAATACAGAAAAAAATAAAATAAAAAGGAATCAATAGCAATGTGAAAGTCTACGTCTCTAATAATTACTACTTCCGATCAGCTACACAAAATTAGAGTATCTTTTCCCCAAAAAAGGAAAATATAGTTAGAGTCCTATACTGGAAAACAAAGCCTAGTACCGGAACACAGAAGAGGCACGAAACCGAGTTTCTTTTCCTTCGACCGGCCAAACAAGAAGTAAATAACACAAGAAAAAGAAAAGATTCAGATATTTAACCTCAGAATTTGTGGCGCATCATGATTTGCAGAAGCAACCAGAGAACTGGTACGATTGAAAACCCTTTGATTAAGATCACCGAAGTGAGAGCTGACGAAGAACTAGAAGTTTCCTTAGCTAGGAAGGTACCTTGTGGGGGAAAAAAACAGACACAGACAATACGAGAAGAGAAGCGGAAAAGGAAAGTTTGAAAGACCACCAAGGGAAAGGACAAGTCGAAGGTAGGTGGGGAGCGTGCTAAAATTGCGCCGGGAGAATAGGAAGAATGGAAATCACAAAGCCATCACCGTTAGATGAAACGGAAATCGTAAAATCACCGTTTTGATATGCATGGTTAAGGTGGGACCCAGGAATTTACCCTGTTGTAGAAATCACTCTAGCTTTTATTTTGTCTGTCGTCTGGGGGAGGTTGTTTGCGGCTGGGAAATTTCTATATAGGAAGAATTACGCCTACACCCTCGCAGTTTGACATAAAATCACACATATTTTTCTTTAAGTTTCGTTTTTTTAGCGGGAGGATAATAGAAAATAAAAAAAAATTTAAAAATTTTAATGTATTTAGTTAGCATGAAAAAAATAATTTTCTTTCATACTTGAATTTTTTCGCAAATAACTAACTTTTTTTTCTTGTAAAAAACATAAGAAAATACAAGAAAGTTGTAATATATGACTAATTTTTTGTTTTACCCTTATTTTTCTTAAAATATATAATTAGTTATTAATTTTAAAAAATTTTGGTATGAATTTAATTAATCATATAATTTAGCTCAAAGACTTTTAGTGATTATCTTAGAATTAGGTTTCAAGCCACTTTTTTTTTTAAAAAAAATTTAACATTCAATTATAATTACATATTTTTTTAATACCAATTTAATATAACTAAGAGTAATTTAGACAATTATAAAAAAAATTCTAATAACTTTATTTTCTTTCAAACAATAAAAAAATTTAAAAATTTCTATAAATTTTTCATTCTAATCAAATACATGCATACAAATATATTTTTTTATCATTTTTTTTTCTAATCAAACTGACCCTTAAGGTATAAAAAATAGGAACAAAAAAAGGGGGATTTGACGAACGATACACGATCCACAAATTGTATATTTTGAAGGTAAGTGGTGTTGAATACTTTTAAAGTCAAATATCCATAAAATACATAATTGATAAAAATACTCTTAATGAATTCCACCATATTTCACTTCCACGATAATAAATTAAAAGACAGTAAACTACACAATAGTCTCAATGTGTTTTGTTATATATTGTGGATAGAATAAGAGGAAAAAAATTTTAGTTAGTTCATTGTTTGTTAATTCACTATCACGTAGTTCACTATTTTTAATTTATCGACGCGGGTGGTTTATTTTTAGTTCATTGTCTATGGAAGGACTTAATTTACCCCTGAAAAAGACAATGACAACTTTGGTTGGGCAAAAATGTAAGACAGAGGGGTAATATTGTCACTTAAAAAATAGAAAAATTAGTTTGACCTCTCACCTTAAAAATTCAACAGAGCTGAATCTCATGTCTTAAAAAATACACAACTGGACTTATCGATAAATTAAGTACGGAATTTATATTTTTTAATAATTTTTACTAAAAATTATAAAATAACACTGAAATTAACAGAATAATTTGCAAACGGAGGTAACAAAAATAGCCAAAGACTGATCTTCCCTAATTCTCAGATTAAACTGTGAAATAAAAATCATAAAATCATCATTTGATATGTATCGATAAGGTGGGACCAAGGGATTTACCTTATTGTAGAATTCACGCTAGCTTTTATTGGGATAAATTAGACATTGATTTCTTAAATTATGAACTCTATTTTATTTTGTCTTTTAAAAATAATTAAATTTTTTATATTATTTATTCAACTACTTAAATTATTTCATATTGTCCCAGACAAAAATATTCACAATTTTTTTAGCCAAAAATTATAAAAGTGTCAGGGCACTATAAAAAAATTACATTATGTGAGAGATCAAATGAAATAGTTATTTCTCAAATCTTTAATAGACGTTAATAGTTTAGTTGATGTGAAATTAATCACATAATAAATAGTATAATATAAAAAATATAATGTTGGGATTTCTCACGATTTGAATCCACTAACAAACACACACAATCGAAGAACAAATCAAGAATATAAAGCAATAAGAAATAAGAAAGAACAAGACACAGATTTTACGTGGTTCGGCAATTTGCCTACGTCCACGAAGCTGCAGGGATTTCACTATTGAGAGAGTTGAATACAAAGAGCGGCTGTACCATACACGATTAACCCTAATCACCAAAACAATAGGGTTTATATGTCCTACGCACTGGACTGTATAACGGGCCCAAAAAAATTTCGGCCCAAGCCTTCGCTCCATGGACTAAGCCTCAGAAAATTTTCCATTAAAAACCACACAACATTATTTCGGGTTGGGTCATCATCCGGATCACATATACAAACTAGACTCCATAAAAATAAACCAACATATAATAGTTTAAGAAATAATTTATATCTATATCTATACTACTTATAAATGTCAGAATTATGAAAAAAAATTGATTTTCTATTTTAGCTCTAATATTATGATAAATTCTGATGGGTTAAGCCCAAATAGTCCAATTTATGTGTTAAAGTCCAACCCCAGTTGAGGAGCCCAACCTCATTTTGATTCCACCAAGCCCAAGACAGTCCAAGACCGGTTAGACTTCTTGCTTAGCACGTCACTAAGAGAAGAGCACGGGAAGTTTATCTGCACCGCCAAAGGAAACAGTCCAAATCCACCAAGTCCAAGACAGCCCAAGGCCGATTAGACTTCTTGCTTAGCACGTCACCAAGAGGAGAGCACGGGAAGCTTATCCGCACCACCGAAGGAAGGAAACGGACCAATCTTTGACCACGTTTCATGAAGAGCTCCCCAACCTCCTCCTTCCATTGAGGATAAGTCGTGATCTCCACCAAAGATAATCTCTAAGCTGCGATAAAGAAGCCTTGAGGATATGTTATGATCTCCACAAGAATGATCTCTTAGCTACTATAAAATGGCTCTAATCTGGGAGAGGAAGGACACATGCTCCATCAGAGACTTACAGAAGACGAACCGACTACCGGAGATTATTATTTTCTTTGATTCTCCATTCCCCCTCTCAAAGCTTGTATCTCCATTCTCCATACCTTTGAATCAATAAAATACCCGGCGACTGAAGCCATTGAAGAGTGGACGTAGGTCGAATTGACCGAACCACTATAAATTGTGTCTTCTCTAATTTTTTCGTTGATTTCATTGCATTTATTATCTATACTTGACAGGTGGTGTGCAAAA